TGACCTTGTTAATTATTCGCTTATTAGCCTTGACTGTTTTCATATGAGCGTATATGTGTGTACACCTCATGTCCCATGACTCATCACATGTCTGTAGTTTATTTTGTCTGCCTATAAACATTGAGTAATGCCCGGCTTGAAATGGAGTTGGCTTCCCAGCCATCTTCCATACGCGTCATTTTTGCTTTGCTATGTTTTATTCGCTTCATGTACGAAATATATGTATTCTCAAGTCAATTCTCGTTATTCGACTTATTTAATTTCGTTATTGGATAACGCGATTTAAGTCGACGATGATACACGAGAAAAGGCGATAACAAACATCCATACAATCTAAATGGAGTCAGATCATCGGGCACAAAATAGCTTTGGATTTCACATTGAATTCAATATGTTTTGATTATTGAATTCATGTTCATTTGTTCACGATTTCAAGTCGACACTATCAGTGAATAGTAGACTGTCTCATGCTCAAAATTGATCGACTTTACCCACTCGTTTATTTTGCAACGATGGTTTTCTTTATTATTGAAATCTTTTAGTCAACCAGTCAATGAGAATGAATAAGTTCGCGGTATAGAAAAGTATAAGACGGTTTTTGTAATTAGAGTCAGGAAAACGTTAATGCATCTTGACCATAGCGACTGATTCTAACCCATATCGAATATCTTCAACCATTGGTCAATATAAACACGCGAACCCAAACTATATAGTCTGCAGCTATCAACCTGTTTCAGACTAATTGTGTAAGTGACTTCATGAATCGATGTCACGTTTATAAGTCAGTCAACATGTATGGAATGTGTGATGACCAGCCGTACTTTCTATTTCACTTAATTTTCCTGTTTCAATAGTCAGATGTATTAATCCAAGTTACTGTATTGAATGTGTTCAATTTTTTCAATGATGAATATCATTTTTTCTCTAAAGGTTGCAATGTATCCAGTTGAGACAGAAATCACTCAACTTTATACTCTTGATGGTGGTAGTCAATTGAAAATTCTTGCCGGTGATAGACAAGGACAAATTCATTGTTTTACATTATTGTGATATGTACACCTACATGCAGATAGAGTCTGTATGTTGTAAAACTGTATTATTTCTTTTGGATAAAAATATTTTCCTGTTAATTTTGCTTTTTATATTTTAACATCGAGCTAACTTCTTTCTTTCACAATTATTTCCTTAATAATATGTGCAAATGAATAATCATGAGATGGGATTGTCTAATGTCATTTATGGTGATCATTTATTATTATAACCACATTGAAAACATGTTAACCTGTTCTTTTAAAATGTATTTATTTCATAAAATGTTTTGTTCATTGAGTAGTGGGTAGTGAATTTCAATCAGTCGATATGTTTCTTAACCTATTTCGTTTAAGTGATCGTTGGATTATGATGGAGTGCATTCTAATCTTTTAGAATTTCAAAAGATAGACAAATAGAACTGAAAGATCTGTATTGCACATAAACTCGATATTCTAATCAGTGAAGTTGTTTTGTTTACCATTATCTTAAACATTCACAATAGACTAGTAGAGAGAAAGGGAGAGTTTGTGGATATCAAAGTAATTGAATATTGTGCTTATTTTCTGGACTAAGTAATAATCAGTTCACTTTCAGAGAACATATCGACAATTGTGTAGGATGTGATCATCTTTGTCCCAAACTCATTTTCTACCTAGTTAAATAAACTAGAGCGACATAGAAACAAGGAGAGGTTACATGGTGAGGCACAGTTGTGTAGAGATGAATTGACTTTTGAAATAATTCAGCAGAGCAAGACAGATGCTTGTTTTGATGCAGTAGTAATTTGTGATAGGCGATCAACGTTCATGAATGTGTATAATTTTCAGATGATTTCATTTGCTATCATAAACAAAATCACAAACCAACTATGATAGATGTTCGATTGTTGGAACTGCGTAAGCTACATTAATTAAAATTAAAGACAGATATGCCTTCGAAATATAGACTGAATCATATCCTAAGGATCAGTAAAATTTCCCTATGAATTTTCTTTACTTTCCCAAAAATAGTGATACTGAGTAGAAAAATGTAGTTGTTGTCACATCCTCTAGTTGACTACGGCAGAATACGACTTACAACTAACGGTAATCGAACGTGTAGAACGCTACAATCGGAAACCAAAGACGGAAGAAGCAAGGAGAGTGATTATTAGGTAAGACACAAAAATGTACAGAAAGACATGGGCATTTATGATTATTAGTATTGGCTACAACATTATTATAATCCGGCCAACCCGCAAGAAGGCGAGCTATGCAACTGTCCAATGGCAGCATGCCACGTTGAAATTACAAAAGGCTCTATCAGGTTATTCGGTTCCTTTCGAGCCTCTGGAGGGTTCCTTGTGTTTCTCGAAGCGATCCTGACAGTTATCACCATATACGATAATGTCATTAAATAACCCAGTAAAGTACAAGTATTTCATCACATAAAAAAAACGGTAATTGGTGCTCTATCAAAACCAGATTTGTAAGTGCTACTGAGCCGACGGTTTAATGATGCTAAAATATGCTCATGATCTGACATCTTACACAAGACACACTTATGTTGAACGAAGTCATGAAGTGCATATATGGACTGATAAGATGTAGGCAGGTCGAACACGTCACATCAAAGGTTTATCGTAGCACAAATTATCTTAAGTTTTCTGTTGAACACAGACGAGCGAAATAGACTATAAATGAAGAACATATTTTAC